AGTCCTCAGTTATGACTGAAATCTATCGGTCAAGCTACAATGTGACTCACCATCATCTACACTATCTCTTTACTTTAAACTTAAAAGATGGGATTAGTTGGTATGTGATCGACATAGATATAGGTTTCATACTAGTTGAGAGTTATCTATAAGGTTCGCTTACGGTCTTGAAGGAATCGATATTCCGTGTGGAATTCTAAGGGAGGTTGATTATGAATACAGTGGTCTTGAGTACTGTTAGAGGTATGAGGGTGGTTATCACTCCCCGTTCGCCCACACCGTGGAAGGGTTTTTCTTGAGGTACCTGAATAGGAAATTGGATTAGAGGTGGTCTTAGTGACCTGAAAACGTGACCGCAGTACCCAAAGGACAGCTGCTTGAGGTCGGTCACACACGGCTTTTTATCAGTAGTTTTTGTGTTAGCGCCGTACTTGTTGAGACCTTACCGCCGGAGACGGATATTCGTGGGATAAGGCGAGGTGTGCATTTTTAGGGTCGACCTTTTCTAACCCCACCCCTCCTTGTGGGAAGACAGCATCGCTGTTACGCTGGTTGTCTGAAGGAAACACCTTACTGCTGTCACACATCTGTACAGTCAGAAGTACGACTTCGCCTTCGGACCTTGGGTATGTTGCTTTTAATCTTACCATTGTTCAACCGACCTATCTGGAAATGTAGAACCTTGAGGAACAGTTGTTCCAGCCAGTATAGCTCGGTTGCTTCATCACTATAGGCAAGCGCGACCACCGCGTCAAGGTGGCAACAACGGTCGAGAATTCTACCCTATTTCATTCAATATCATAGTCTGAGATAGTACAGCTGAGCTTTATGAGCCCTCTGACTGACTTATTAATCTTAACTATGTTTCGTTCACACGTAATACTAGTTTACTTACAACTGTTCCACGAATATTTATAATGAGGTCCCTAATTAAGTGATGGCATATAGAAACTTTTCGATACTCCTCGTTGGATTCGAACCAGTGTCAGTTATCTGTCAATTCTGAGATACTACTGCTGATCTATTCAGTTCATGACTAACCTCCTGTAGGACTGAGATGTTTATATGAATACTATATATATGTACTAACATTTAGACAGAAGGATTTTATATTCAGTCAATTGGTTTTTGATAGTGGAATGAATAGGCCGGTGTTAGAATCTTACTGAAAGTAATACACCAATATAAATCTTACTCCATCTCAGCACTGATACAATGTATAAATAACAAAACATTTGTAATGATATGACTTTGAGTGAATAGTAAAAAGTCATTCTATCACTCAAAATAGTATATAGTCAGTTATCAATGCTTACAACGGTTTACTTATTATTTCGATTACAGTGAGTAACCAGTTTATTGGAAGATGTTTGTCTATAAATTATACTCTACAGAAGTTTGTTTCAAACTGTATAACTCAATGAGTATAAGAACCTTTTAATTGAGTACACAATTTCGATTTGTTTATCCAATTATTTAAACAGTTTTAAAGGAATGAATTAAGGTTAAATTTATTTGCGCATACTACCTCAAAATGATTGTTTATTTATCTGCATAATTTAAACAGTAGCAAGCATAAAGTTATTGACCTGTTCTCGGTTTTCGTCTTCCTCCCCAAGTCGTACAGATCTCAGACCCCCTCTGTTTTAAGCTCAGTTTATCACAGTTATAATGGTATTAAAATACAAGTAGAATGTAGTTTTTCGGATAAAGCAATTATCAATCCCTACATGGTTAGTACCATTCCCAAGTCCATGTAAAGAAGGACGGTTAGGCGCAGGTTTAGAATATCATCTAGTACAAATCAACCGCGCAACAAAAATACCAACCGGAAAAATACGTCTAAATCATTTAAATACTGCCTTGAAGATTGTGGAGTCTTCATATGGAACAACAAAAGCTTGAGCAACAATTAATATACGTGCACGAAATGTCCAGACAAATAACGGAAGAAATGAAAAGATACAAGATAAATCCTGTTGGAATGAGTGGAATCAATTGGATTCAAGCTGGTTACCCCTAGGTCACAAACAGGAGGTAGCATTGATGCTATCCAAGAAGCACGACTTGAATGACAAAGTGGGCATGGGAAACGTTAGGTACGAAGTTATCATAGGGTGAAAAGGAATGAGAGAAATGAGTGATAATGTCGATAGGTAAGTCTGTTTGCTTTCAGCAACATGTTAATATATGGCACCGTTTTCCCACAAAAACTCTCGCGGGAAGCTGTATGGGTTTCACCGGACCCGGCTACAGAGGACCAGATTAATCACATCTTGATGAATAAAACATTGCGGAATGTCCACAGGAGGCATGAGAACGAAGAGAGGAGCTTATGTAGCTTCAGATCACCACCAAGAGCAAAAGAAGCACTAAACAGGCAACACTGTAAAAGTATGATACAACCTGGACCTGGAGGGTAGAGCACTCATAAGAGCCCTTAGATTAGTTCCAATGAATCCACCAAACATCGAAGCAGCTTACACAGTTTTCTCTAAAGACGATAAAACACCAACAGTGGAAGAAATCGGTAGGGATATCAGACAGATGTGAAGTGGTAGCGCAACAGAACCAGACAATGTAAAAGCTGAAACTCTGAAGTTAGAGATAGGGGTAACTAAAAAGATGTTAAACGATCTCATTACGACAATTTGGGAGTGAGGAAAATTACTCACGAACTGAAAGGTGGGAAATTTCATCAAAAAACCAAAGAAAGATCTTATTAACTGTGAGAACTACAGAGGCATCAAGAGTATATCAGCACTAGAGAAACTTTGAGTGCCAATGCGTACACACACATGTATATCCATCTGGTGAGCCTCAAACATGGTAGAAATCGGCTCATGAATTTCACGATGAGCCACCATCAAAATATTCTAGAAACAGATTTTATTAATGCACTTCAAATACAATGTACATGTGCAAACGTACGAGTTTGGAAATGAACTCGTTAAAATGAATTCGTCTACTGAATTACCTGTTCTTTGGTGAAATCATTCGCAAATTCCTAAGAGGTTTATCTGCAGATAAATTATCACTGACCACAAGTGAATGTGAAGTGGTTAGACATCAAATCTTGATTCATCATAATCTAAGAACTAAATGTCGGAAGGAAATTATTGTTTCATACAATTGACAAATAGTAAAATCTGTGTCTTATCTCATGTAATTAGGTTGGACACATCCCTTAGTATCACTAATATAATGAATGAACACATGGGTGGAAATCTGTGATCAACTGGTTGAAACTCAAATATCATTAGTCGAAATTCTGTCATTCTCAATGATCGTTAAAGTGGTGACCATTCAAATATAATTCACGTTAATGAGTGGTGCTTTTTATTCTTACATATTTCCATAGATCATTGGTGCACAAGTGTTACAGAGTATGAATGCGAAAACGTTTTTCTGTCTGTAATATATTATACTGCAATATCCTATTCACCACGGAAAGATTAATCATTAGGGAAGACTGCTACTTTTGTGGTGATCTAGTTGTATTTGTTTATCTCCACCATCACATAGAACAGAGTCACCATACCGACCACCTCCAATCACTCAGTAATGAGTATAATCGTCGTTTAGGTGATTGTTATTTAATTACTAACTAGCTAATCAATTGATTCAAATTGAGACTATGGGTTTTAGCATTTTGTTTGTTAAGTGAATTGTCTGGGGAGTATGTTTAACTTATCCCACTCTACGACGATTCACACAGTGTTTGCATTATATTGAGTAGGCACTTAAATAAAAATGTTTGGTCCGGAAGTCATAACAGTTCGTTTTGCATCACTTCTAAATAGTTGTCGTCCGTCTAGTTACAAATCGATCACGTTAAAACGATTTATTCCAAGTATTCTAATCAGTTGCAGATACAAAATAATCAGTCAGATATTGACATGATAGACAGTCATTAGCCCTAATAATCACGTCCCATTTGATGACTACACAGTGAATGACACACAGCACTGGCTTCTCCCAATCCCTCTCAACACATAAACATGTCTATGTTTCTGTTAATAACTTGCACACTGACACGTTATTTTGTTCGACAAGAAACCTATTGTTCTGGTCAGTGATCTCGTCTTGATATTAGCTTACTCGTTGATTCAATAATTCAATAATTTGATCTCGTTAACATCCAACACTCAACCATATCACCTCGTCATATAACATCAGTCGATCGGAATCCTATTTATTCGACTTGACAATTGAAAACAACAATCACTCAGAAAATTCATCTCGATAACAAATACACAATGATCACAAATGATCCTCTGTTTAAGCAGCGTTAAAAATCGATCTGTGTTATTTATTCCTCAGTCTATACATCCTTCGTGTTTTGTATTTGTGAAGAACATCGATTGACAGTACTCATGGTACAGATTTATTGTAATATGTGAAAGCACCTGAATTATGAAAGCTACATAATGTTGAAGGCAATGAAAGTGAGATGAATCAGGGTTAACCCACAAAAATCTATACATCGGTTATTCAAATGACCAATATTCATCTAATAAGACCACTAAACTCAAAATAAACGAACACAAAGTATATAATTTAACCGAGTTCGTGTCATCATTGTCGATTGACATGATTTTACCACCTGAACACTAGAATAATACACTGTATTTCGAGTATTCAATCAAACATGAAACATTACACTGACCGATAATATCCTGGTGAAGAAGTGGGAGATTCATTTTAATCGTACATTGAATGCCCAATAATAGTTCGTTTCAGTGATCTTGTCGATTACAATATTTGTGTATAAATATGATATTTAAATTAGAAAAACACACAGTAAAGCAATCATTGGACATGTAACAACACAACATACATATTGAATACTGTCAAATGTACAATACAATACAATACATGTTATTGCTTAAGCTAAATTAGTCACAAAAGAAATAGAATGATAACGAGTGAGAGAAAGGATAAAATGTAGGAAAATTGTTTGAATGTTTCAAAACAAAATAAACAAACTGGTCATTAGTTTACCGATGTGCCAAGCGAGTTTCTCGAATTGTTCTCGTTGTTGTAGTGGTTCGAACGGTAACACATTTTGACGACATGATCGCCAATATAGCCACTTGTGTTGCTAGTACAGCTCCAGTGACTGCGAAGAAGTATGACCAATGATGTCCAACTAATGATGTGTACACTAATATGCCGATCAAGAGAGCTGCAGCACCCACGTATAATATAATGAAACGTACAGTTGTATAAGCAGCACGTGAGGCGAACACATCTGAACATAATGCAATCGCATCCAATAGGATGATGATTAATAGGCATACAGTGCCTAAAATGATTAAGCCAGCAACAGCTGATACAGTCTCCTTATAAACAGTATTCTGACATGTTGAGAATAAATTTCCACAATCCCAAAGACTTGTTACCAACGATGCAATACTCAAACCCACTGCTAAGCATAACAGACTAACACCCAAACGACGTAATTCAATGATCATTGTTACTGTTGTTGACTGTGATCAGTGTTATTTGAATATGGAGAATAATCCAGTGAACTGTTCAGTACATCTACTGTAAATCGATATGAATTGTGTTTGTTTGTATTAATAAAAACTAGTTCGAAGTTGTAATATATATATATATATATATATATATATATATATATATATATATATATATATATATATATATATATATATATATATATATTACTGATTTACACCTACTCAACAAGAACATATAATTAACCTAGAGTAGTAATTTTCTATTGGTTAGTTACTACAGTTAGTCAGTTGATGTTGATTATCGAAATGTGTGTGTAAATAGTTTTGATTTAACAAACATAAGTGAATGGAAATAATGATGATGTCACATGAAGGTATATAAATTTGTACTTTTAACGAATATCATTTATGATAATGATAATTCAGAAACTCACTTTCTGAGTTATATTAATTGAGTTAAATCATATAAATATTCAATTTTGTTTTCTCTTCATTGTATTTTCCCTTTATTCAGGTAATTATAATGGAATAGATTTATTATATCAATTTCATATTAATTTGTATTTTGCATTACAGTGATACTATAATTTATAGACTAACCTTTAAGTGACACTAAACTGACCTTTACAATGTTCATTTTAACTTATTAGGGCTAAATAAGGATTGTAAACCAATTTGAAGAATAAGGATTACCGTTTATAGTTGATCATTAAGTTTAAGAATTAGAACTGATATCAGCTAAAATACTATAACATTATTTAAATGAATTTCGCGCCAAAAATCCAAGACCTTTTATTTTAAATCTGATTGGTTTGTCTAGAAACGGTAGTCTCATCGAATGATTTTTAGGCAAACTTGTAGTCATCCGACTTCAATACATCTCTGACCTTGAATTTTTATTGATTACTTTCAGGAAGATTATCTCCCTTTCTTCTATTATGAAGGTGTATATATTATGATAGTGGCTTGTTAATTTCTGATCAAATTTTCATTGATTATGCATCTTTGACAATATTGATCAATACATCTTTAATCTTCTAGGTCACAAATTAAAGCTTAGCAACGTGATTGGTTACTTTATATTTGGAATCTTCCTTGTGTTAAATGGATATTTTAATCGTTGAATTCATTAATCAATGAATCTTAGACCACCATTGTAAATCTGGAAGCACTGGTTGACCGTTTCTTCCTAATACGGGACTCTTCAGCGATGCACGTTCGCAATCCTGTACACAGGATTTGAACTCATGACCTTCGGTATCGTGCTCGAACCCTTAACCTCTAGACCACTGGGTCAGTATCGAATGGTGTTAATGTCTAGCTTTCATCGATCCACGAATGCTTGCTCAACCATTTATCCATTGTCTGAGGTAGATACTTGTCACTACCTGACACGGATTGAATTCCACTGATCACGGCTTCTCAACTAGAACTTCAAGAAATCCATGTTGAAGCTAGTCACTAATAAGCACCATATGATGATTATGATCAGAATAGATTGAACTAATAAAATTATTACAATCTCCATAAACTTCATTCTGATCCAAATAATTATTTAACAATATGACAAGTTAATTAAAAGAGAAATTTCGATTTTGATAATATCAATTAGATGACATTAATTATTTCCATGCCAACTACATGTATGATGTATACATATTGAGATTAACTTGGCATTCTCATATGATGCATACAAATTTAACGGTTTATTTAGTTGCTTTGAACAACCTATCCGTTTCATGATATCGATTTAAAATCCACATGATAATTTATCAATAATTAATCAAGATAATTACATTTATAAAATAATGATTTTCAGATCCAATCATTCAATTCTATGATAGAAATCATATAGAAAACATGAATGTTTCGTAGTGAAAATGTGATAGTTTAGGTTATCATTTGGTGTATATATGTGTGTGCTACTTATGTCTATATAAATAGCCGATTTCGTAGTCAGAAATAGAATATCGGGTAGCAGAGGATTTAAAAGATCGAGGGGAAATAAACGGGAACAGAAAGCAATTAGTATAGCAATGAAGGAATAATGAAGTCTGAGATAGTTGGTGAATATTTTACATATGAAGTATTTATTGTATGGTTTTCAGATTTTACTAAGATCTAATTGTCTCCACTTGTGCTCCCGTTGACTACAACCTTACTAAGAATTCATTAAATATATTTTGGTATGATTTTAAGTTCACCAGGAGGAACTCGGCTTTCACATCGGCGTAATGTGAGGAAGACCAAAGAACACATTACGCCGAGAAATGGAGGCATATATGAGAAAAATGAACGAAAATTCGATAGAACTGGAAAGGAAGGAGAGTGCTGGTCGGTGGTATATGCTCCATTGAGGTTAACAGGCCTAATTAAGTAAGTAAGTAAGTAACAGTCACGAGAATTCATTTTTCAAGAATGTATTTTTATGTGGTTCAAGTGGTTTGAAACTAGATGTCTTAATTTGACATTGAGGCAGATAAGTACAATTTTTAGATAGAAATAATTGAAGTTGAAACTGACAAAAAATGTTCACAAGGAATAAAACAAAGTGACATTAGTAACACCCAATAGCTGAACACGGTCACTTTTTCAGTTTTCACTTGGAATCCATTTGTCACCTGGACTCCATGTATCACTTTTGCAGTGTAGTCCGTTGTATGAATTTCATGTGATGTTGACGATTTTCTCATCTACCCATTCCATAGTGTCAAATAAGGTTTCATAATGTTCATCTATTCACGCTGTCGACCTCTCCTTCGTAGTCAAGGAATTTGGTGTTTACTGACAACCGCCATTCAGTTGATAATCCAACGATGATTCGTAGTGTCATTATTTGGTATGTGCACGATAGATCCTTACAACATCCAGCCTGTTGATCTCAAAGTTGGGTGTCTACTGAGCCTGTCATCTGGTTCGACAACACTCTATTTAAAACGTTTCCTGATACTGACAGTAGTGTGATGCCTCTATTCTTCTAACATTTGCTTTGATATTTTGATGAAATGTCCTTCTTTCTAGTCCATCGGCACTTGTTCTTCTTCCCAACTATTCTTTATTAAAGCGTGAAGCAGAATTGCAGTTACTTTTATGTCTGACTTTAGTACTTCAGCTGATATATTATCAGGTCCTACTTCTTTCCCGCTCTTGATTTGTCCGATAGCAGTCCATCTTAATCATTGGTGGGGTGACATCAATAGGAAGGTCTGTGTGCGCTGTTTCGATGTTGGGTGGGTTCAGTGAGGCCGGTCTATTCAAGAGTTCCTCAAAGTGTTCTACCCATCTGTTCCTCTGTTCTTCAATCTCAGTCATTGGCTTGCCTGCTTTATCTTTGATCGGTCTCTCTGGTTTACTATATTTCCCTGCCACTTTCTTTTTTGTGTCATATAGTTGTTTCATATGTCCTTCTTTCGAAGCCTCTTCCACTGTTGTTGCTAGCTCTTCTACATATTCCTGCTTGTCGGCTCTAATACGCTTCTTCATTTGCTTGTTTGCTTCAATATATTCAGCTTGTGCCTTCACCTTCCCTGTTCTTGTTTGGTTGTTGTTAATTGCTGTCTTCTAATTCTTCCTTTCTCGAATCCTGTCCAGAATTTCCATAGAGATCCTTTCCTTATGATGATGCTTCTTGCGGCCCAGCACCTCCTGTTACGTTGAAATTAATGCTTCTTTTATACTTTTTCAGTTGTTCTCCATAGTAGTTTCTTCTTCCTTCAGTATATCCTGTAAGGCTTGAAATTTGTTGTTGAGAGCTATCTTGAATCCGTTGAATTTGTTAGTATCTCGAAGGAAGGCTGTATTGAAGCTTTGCAGCGCTGTTTGTCCAGTTGTCCAGTTCTTCTTTAGCATCAGGTTTAAATTGGCCGTAACTAGGTGGTGATCTAAAGCTATATCCACTCCTCTCCTGGTTCTCACATCTTCCATTGTCCTTCGGAATTTTTTATTGATGGAAATATGATCGACCTGGTTCTCTGTGGAGTGGTCCGGTGAGATCCATGTAGCTTTGTACATACGTTTGTGTGGGAATATTGTTTCGCCTATGACCAATTTGTTGAATGCACAAATCTCTCGCTATCTCGTTCCATTTTCCCAGTCAATCCATTTCGTTTCATGATATCTTGATACCCGATGTTGCCCATTCCGACTTAGGCGTTTAGATATCCCACCAGGATGATCAGGTCCTTTCCTAAGTACTTTGCTATGATTGATTGCAGATTCTCGTAAAACTGATGTTTATAATCTTCTTTGCTATCATTGGTGGGTACATAACATTGGATAACATTCATTGTGATTCCTTCCTTATTTGTTTTGAAGGATGCATGAGATTCCCACCCAATATTGCATTTCGCGCGTCTTTGGACAGCATTAGAACAACTCCCTGAGTGTGTGAAGCATTTTTCTCTTCTTGACCGGAGTGTTATAGCATCTCCTGTATCTATCCTTTGTTGTCCAGCTTAGTTCTAATGGGTTTCGCTGATTCCGAGTACTACCAATTAATATCTCCTCATTTCCGTTACTATTTGACTAATCCTACCGGTCTCTCAAATTGTCTGGTTTTTAGAAGTGGCATCGGCCTCGTGACTTCCAAAGAATATCGGGTATCATCATAAGGCTTATAATTCTTCTGAATGAACATTTTTAATCTCAAAAGGCGGAGTTTAAATGGTATGATTTTTTTATTCTGGTTAGCGTTTATTCGCAAGGTTGTTTTCTACGGCATGGGGTTTATGACCTCGTGACCAACTCTCCTCCACTTTGTGGGATTGGAACTTTCAGTAATCCTTGAAATGGTACAGGCGGAGTTTAATATGTAACTAATTACCTATTATTGTTAGCTTGTAGGATTTTACTTAAAAATCATTGGATCCTGGCTCATTGGTCTAGAGGTTAAACGTTTACTCTCGAGTCCCATGTGCAGAATCGTGAATTCACACTCCTAGGGAGCCCCACACTAGGACGAAACGGCCGTCCAGTACTTCCAGGTTAGGGTTACA